TGGTCATAAAATTAAAATATCATGAAAAAGTTGATTTATTTCAGTAATGCCATCCAAAAAGTGAAACTTGTATATTATATTCATTCATTCATTACACACAGACTGATATATTTCAAATGTTTATTTCTTTTAATGTTGATGATTATAACTGACAACTAATGAAAACCTCAAATTCAGTTTCTCTGAAAATTAAAATATTACTTAACACCAATAAAAAAAGGATTTTTAGAAATGTTGCCCAACTGAAAAGTATGAACATGAAAGTATGAACATGTACAGTACATCACTCACTACTTGGTTGGGGCTCTTTTTGTCTGGATTACTGCAGCAGTGTGGCGTGGCATGGAGTCGGTCAGTCTGTGGCACTGCTCAGGTGTTATGAGAGTCTAGGTTGCTCTGATAGTGGCCTTCAGCTCTTCTGAATTGTTGGGTCTGGTGTATCACATCTTCCTCTTCACAATAGATTTTCTATGGAGTTAATGTCAGGCAAGTTTGCTGGCCAATTAAGAACAAGGATACCATGGTTCTTAAACCAGGTACTGGTAGCTTTGGCACTGTATGAGGGGGCCAAGTTCTGTTGAAAAATGAAATCTGCATCTCCATAAAGTTGTTCAGCAGCAGGAAGCATGAAGTGCTCTAAAACTTTCTGGTAGATGGCTGCGTTGACCTTGGACCTCAGAAAACACAGTGGACCAACACCAGTAGATGACATGGCACCCCAAACCATCACTGACTGTGGAAACTTGACACTGGACCTCAAGCAACATGGATTCTGTGTCGCTCCTCTTTTCCTCCAGACTCTGGGACCTTGATTTCCAAAGGAAGTGCAAAATTTATTTTCATCAAAGAACATAACTTTGGACCACTCAACAGCAGTCCAGTTCTTTTTGTCTTTAGCCCAGGCGAGATGCTTCTGATGCCGTCTCTTGTTCAAGTGTGGCTTGACACAAGGGATGTGACAGCTGAAACCCATGTCTTGCATATGTCTGTGCGTGGTGGTTCTTGAAGCACTGATTCCAGCTGCAGTCCACTCTTTGAATCTCCCCCACATTTTGGAATGGATTTTGTTTTGCAACCTCTCCAGGGTGCAGTTATCTCTATTGCTTGTACACTTTTTTCTACCAAATCGTTTCCTTCCCTTCACCTCTCTATTAATGTGCTTGGACACAGAGCTCTTTGAACAGCCAGCCTCTTTAGCAATGACCTTTTGTGTCTTGCCCTCCTTGTGCAAGGTGTCAATGGTCGTCTTCTGGACAACTGTCAAGTCAGCAGTCTTCCCCATGATTGTGTAGCACTTCTGTCTGTGCACCCGTTTCTGCAGGAACTTCGTGTCTCGTGGAACATGTTCATGTGCCTTCTTCAGAGTCCAGTCAACACGCTTGTTTTATAACATGCAAACATCAACACCTCCAAATCTGAGTTCATGATCCTCAGTCGGAGAACGGTAGATTGCCTTCTCAGTACCTTGTTGGGTTTATTGTGGACTCTGTGACGGTCCGTTGTGGTGAAGAGGGAGCTGAGCTGCAAGGAAAAGCTCTCTGTTCAGTAGTCGGATTATGTTTCTACCCTCAACGATGATCACAAACTTTGGGTAGTGACCCAAAAAATATATAAACAACAGATACAGGAGGTCCAAATGAGTTTTCTCCACAGGGTGGCTGGACACTATCTTAAATAGGGTTCAGTGATCCAGGAGAGATCAGACTCAGACACCCTGGTGAAGTGGTTCAGGCATTTAGTAAGGCAACAACTGGGAGGAAGACTGCTGAAATGCTGATAAAGCCAAACGGATGTTGTTTTCAAACAGGCAGTTTTGCCTCCTATTTTATCTTAGAATGATGTTCCTATTGAGTTTGTCGATTCTTACAAATACTTGAATATCTTGGTCGATTAGCATCTCTCTTTTAAGCCTCATGTCAAAAACTTGGTAAAGAAACTGAAAGTTAAACTGGGTTTCTTTTTAGAAATAGATCCTGTTTAACTCTGAACACTAGGAAATACCTTGTAACTGCTACTTTCCTTCCCTCCATTGACTATGGTGACATTATTTACATGAACACTACTGCAAGCACCCTGCAGATGTTGGATGCTGTCTATCATGGTGCACTAAGATTCATAACTGGCTGCAACTATCGTACCCACCACTGCACCCTGTATTCACTGGTTAACTGGACATCATTAACTTCAACAGACTCTCTCACTGGTACATTTTCATCTTTAAATCACTTCTTGGTCTGCTGCCTTCATACATCTCCTCCTACATGTCTCTGCGTGAGTGCAGCTACAGCGTGCGCTCTCAGGACATTATTACCTGCAGTGTTCCCTCAGTGAGGACTGAACTAGGCAAAAGGGCCTTCTCCTACTCCGCTCCTGGTTCCTGGAATATCTTGGAAAAAGATCTTAAGTTCTCAACTTTGACCTCCCTAAGGGATTTTAAACAACTGTTCATGGCAAAACTCAACACAGACATGTTCCTGTTTTTAGTATTTTACATTGCTTTATAATGCAGCTGTTTTTATTTCATTTTTGTATCATTTTTTCTATTTATTTTTCATTTTATATGCTTTTATACGATTGTCTATTGTTGTCTGTACCTCATCTGTGTTCTTTGTTTAAACCAGGTCTCTCTTGTAAATGAGTCCTGGGACTCAGTGAGACCAACCTGTATTAATAAAGGTTGAATGAAAAAAAAAACCCAGGACACACTGAAGTAACTACCGGTATGTGTCTCAGCTGTCCTGGGAACGTCCTGAAGTCCTCTCAGAAGAGCAGGAAGAGGTGGCTGTGGATAGACATGTCTGGACCTCCCTGCTCAAGCTTCTGGTCTTGAGACCTGACTCCAGAACAAGCAGCAGATGAAACACGGTGTTCCTTTCTTCAATTTAAACTGTGCGGCTGTAGAGAAGTACTATACAAACAAGTTTTCCAGGTGACCTAAATGTAACTATTGTAGTGATGAAGCAAACAAACAAACAGTTAAAAGATCCAACATTTGTGCAGTCTGCAGCCTTGAACACATCAAACCAACAGCAGGAAATGCTGAGTTGGCATAAGCAGGAGCTCAACACAAGAACCGCAGCTTTAAGATGGCCGAGCAGAGATGATAGCTCTTAAAACTTTTCATTTGGGGTTTCAGTAGGAACAGTACTGCAGCAGAGAGGAGACAACCTCTGAAAGACAGAGAAATGAAACTGGAAATAAATATGAAGCGCCTTTGTTGCCTGCATAAGTACACATTTTGAGCACAAAAAAAAAAAAAAAAAAAAAAGGAAGACAAAGAAAGAAAGAAATCACCTGTTAAGAGAAGGAAAGAGTTGTCTTCTGTAGAGATGCACCGATCCGATACCATCTCGGTACCGATATAAAAAAAGTAAATAAATAATAAAAAAATTAAAAAATAAAAAACTTCTGGATTGGGTATCTGTGACAATGTGACCGATCCATGACTGTGCAGATCTTCTCACTCTAATTCTATGCTTTGTGCTCTGAGTGATGTCACATGCTAGCATACTGACAGAACAAATTAAAGCTGTGTTGTTTTTACATGTTTGACCGAGCTTGTGAAGCTCTTGGTGTGTTTAAGTGTGCTGTTATGGTGCAGAGTTTTCAATAAATTTGTAATTCAGTACATTCATGTCTGCGTTTAACAAAACAAATGTTTTAAGTTAATTCAGCACTGGGTTTGTAAGTTCAAACATCCAGGTAGACAACAAAAATGGCTAAATCATGTCATCTGGACCTGTTTCAGAAACGGATCCAGATGACATGATTTAGCCATTTTTGTTAATTCAAATGTTTTTCTGTATCAGATCGGTCAATGATAAACAGCAGATATCGGATCAGAAGTGAAAAAAGTGGATCGGTGCATCCCTTGTCTTCTGTAAAGCTGAGCTCTAAAGCAGGGTACCAACATAAAGGTCTGTCTAGTTGCTGTGTAGCTGCAGCGTTTGATTAGTGCTTTGCTGCACTTTGAAAACAGCAGTGTGCTCCTCTAAGCCTGCGGGGAACGGCCTTTAGATGTTTAATTTACAGAGCCGCATCAGCTTATGTTACACTTATCACGTTATCACACTTCACTTTGAACATTAAAATGTCTGAATCTGTACAGTTTGTTAAACACCGTGACATGGCTGTGCAAAGAACTCTGTCTGCAATGACCTCACACCATCAGAGAAATGTTCACATTTAACAGAAATAATCTGTGAACAGTTCTCCCAAAAAACTAAATGTGCACATCATTCAGAAATGACTGCGTGAAGGTCAAACACTGAAGGTTTGCTTGAAGTGAGAAGGGTCGACAACTGATAACAATCAGAACAAGTTCATCACCTGCAGACCATTCAGTGCATTTGTTTTAGACCAGGGCTACTCAACAAAACTGCTCAGGGGGCCACACATCCAGCAATTAAAATCATAAACCAAAGTTTACAATGAACTGTTACCTTTTAAATTTGTTTTATTGCATTGAATCATAAATTCAATAAACAGAACCCAAAACCCAAACCCAGAACCAAAAAATAATAATTACATAATTAAATGTAAATATATATATATATATATATATATATATATAAAAAATTTTTTTTTTTTTTTTTTTTTTTTTAATGAAGTGGGCTGGATTGAAGTTACCCGCGGGCCACTTCCGCCAGTGGAATAGCCCTGTATTAGACTATGACAACTGTAATGTGAACAAACATCAATCACCAAACTTTAAATTTGCTCAAGTTCCAAAGCCAAAAGAAGATCAAAGAAAAGGTCAAAGGAAAAACAATAGTGCGACAACTGTTGAGGGACTTTATGTAAAGGTCACGGATGTTTTCCATGATGGAGCAAAAAACAAAGCTCTATCCTACCTTGGTTGGATACAATAGCAAAAAAAGGCAATGTTCTAATTCACTTGACAGGAGATCCTGAAGAAAACAACGCTGTCAGAATAACTAAAGTTTTGTCACCAAACTACACGATGGATTATCAGTTGAATGAACACTACGGTGGTTTCTGCATGGATTTCTATTTACAACAACCTATCATACCTCTAATTTTAACTGTGTGTAAAACAAAGATTATTTTTGAAGCAAAATCTGTTCATGTAGCTGAAATCTATAACACTGTCAGGGTTAAAGAGATACGAACAAATTACCAGTAGAAACTTACTTTAAAATTAAAAACTTTACTGTACAGATAAATACCTTCAAGAACTCCTTTAAACTCAACAGAGCTTTATTTTAAACCAATTAGTTACTTGTCACAACAAGCACAAAACATAAAATTTCCTCATGTAAATTACAGTAGTCCCTCGCTACTTTGCGGTTCGTTTATCTCGGACTCACTCTATCGTGGTTTTTCAAAACAAGATTGGACATGACACACAGTTGGCTGATTGATGGATGAGACGCATGATCGGCATGAAATTTTAATTTTAAGTAAATTGTTTTAAATTATTTAGCACCTGCTGCACATTTGTGCAGCCCATACTGCAGGATACGCTTCCTGCTGCAGCTGTTCACCATACAGCGAAGAAGTGGGCGTGGCCAAGAGCGCTTGCAGGTGGACAAGAGCAGAGGAGGCAGGGAGCTGAAATAATGACATTCTGTGCTCTTTTAGAGCGTTTAAAAACATTGTTTAGAATATTGCAAGAGTGTGGGAAGGGTTTAAAATGTCATAATATATATATAAATAATAAAATAAACTACTACTTACTACTTGTACTACTATTCCAACTTCACAGTTTTTCCACTTATCACAGGTCTTCAGGGTATGGATCCCCCGCGATAACCGAGGGACTACTGTAGTTCAATTGTTTCTTTAAAGAAATGCTTTAAAAATATTTTAGGGAATGGTACTTAAATAAATCTACCAGGAGTGTCAAAATAAATTGCCTGCAGTCCAAATAACACAAAGAACAATAAAAACATGTCAATTTGACTTTTATACAGATTTTCATGTTTCACTTGAGGTAAATTTATCTATTTGGCAGTTATCAGTCACTTTCTCAAAGCCATGTTCATCCACTGAGTGCGTGTGTGTGTGAGTGTGTGTGTACTGGCATAAACAGAAACGTCATTTTGATTTTCCCTTCCTAACAGAAGGCTTGAGTTTCAAGTGATACGCACCGTTTACAGATGGGTTAAGAATTAATGACTTTTTAAAAATACAAACACAATGTGAAGTGAAACTTGAATTTTGAAGAGTCAAGAAGTGGGTGCGCTTGTGTTAGCATACCTCCTGCTCCTTCAGACAGGAGAGAGGGACAGGAGCGTCCACCTCTCTAATCTCAACACTGCAGCCTTCGAGGGGGCCCAGGCGCCTCTTCTTGCTGGGTGTGGGCCTTGTTGGAGGGGTGTTTTCCTTTCCTTCACTACAGCTGATCCCATCTGAGGAGTAAATAAAACTCCATCAGAAAGGGTAATTGTTACATAAAAGTTGGAAAACAAATGGGACTTGATAACATAATTAAATACAAATTAAATGTAATATCAGATAAACACATCATAAAATTGTAAATTAGAGGAAACGTAAATAAACAAGGATTTTAAGTTTCACTTCAGCAGCTAAAAACTTGGAAGGCAGCTATTTAGGAAGCTGACCAAACACAGAAGGAACTACTGCTGCAAAATGCTGTCGGAGTGAGACGTTCAGTGAGCAATGTATTAATCTGCAGCTTCTGAACGCTGCCTCCAGACATCTTAAAGAAATCATACTGGCATAGATTCTCGTAGAGAAATGAAAGTATTAATCCTATGGCGGTAAGGCTGCCTCACCAGACAGATAATCTCTTGTCATGATGCATCCTCCAGTGTCGCCGTCCTGCACTGGCACTGGATCACAGGCGTGATCCATCAGGCTCTGGAAGTTGGCCATCTTCTGCCTTAGCGTGGAGGCGACGGGGGGAAAGAAGGGGCTACTTCTGACAGGCTGAGGGTTGAAAATAAACACATCTACTCAGTGATGCAGCTTGACAGCTCATGCACTTCTGAAATTACAAAAGTGGTATTACTGTGAGGAAGCACATCCATCACGCACAGATCTGAAGAGCTTAGTTTCCTAAGATACAGGCACGTTACATCAAGAAAGATGCAGGAATAGTTCTTATTTTTATGCACAGCAGTCACAGAGCACCACACATCCAGTAAAATGATCGTCAGTAACTCACCTCCTCTTGACTTGATAACGCATCATTTTCACAGTGGTAAAAACCACCTAAAGTCCATATGAACTTTTTTAACCACCTCTTTAGCATAATGCATTTAACCACTGCACACAAATACGTTCACTAAAAGTACACTCTTACATTTTTCAAACACACAATGCTTCTATAAAATAACTAAAAGCACAACTTTATTTAAATCCCTAGAATGTAAGATCACATGAGCTATGTTACTAAAGCCCGCCCCCTATCCCTGATTGGTCAGTAACAATCTTCAGCAAATGCTGATCTGAGACAGATAGATGAGGACGTTTAAACATTAAAGGCCTCATCAAATTGGTTTTGTCATATAAACTCATAAGTATAACTCATAAATGTGTGTAAGTTGGATATGATTGGTTGTAAAGGCTGGTGATGGGTCTACTACACTAACACAAACAAAATAAAGAAGTAAAAACAGAAATCTGATACGTGACATTTTACAATGTCATTAAAATAAAGTAAAAGGAAGATGCTGATTGATAATAAGTTACAGGTGGTTCTTTTTTATAGCTCTGGACTGGTTACCATTAGAGTATACTGAGTGATATACAGGCAAGAAGAGAAAACCAGTAAGTGTTAACGTGGAGATTTTCACTGTGTAACATTTTTTCTCCCCATTGATTTTTTTAAAGAATTGCAAAGTATTGATTTCCTCCACAAAGTCTTTGATGCAATAATAAAGCAAAGTTCTATCAAGTCTGGATAAATGTACTGCAGTAACATTGATGTGTAGTATAAGTACAGGATTCACTTGGGTTTAGTTTTACAGTATGATTTTCATTAATAATGACCCAGGGTTAATGCCTCACCTGATTTTAGTGTGCATGTAAGGTCACAGAAGTACTTTTTTAAATATATATACTTAAGTTAGTCTAAAGGGCAGCACGGTGGCGCAACTGGTAGAGCTGCTGCCTCTCAGCGAGCAGGTCCTTGGTTCAAACCCTGGTCCAGGGGCCTTTCTGGGTGGAGTTTGCATGTTCTCTCCGTGCATGCGTGGGTTTTCTCCGGGTACTCCGGTTTCCTCCCACTGACCAAAAACATGCATGTTAGACTGATTGGTAACTCTAAATGGTCCCTAGGTGTGAGTGAGAGAGTGAATGGTTGTTTGTCTCGTTTGTCTCTATGTGGCCCTGTAATGGACTTGCGACCTGTCCAGGGTGTACCCCGCCCCTCGCACAGTGATTGCTGGACATGGGTACCAGCGACCCCCGTGACCCAAAATGGAATAAACGGGTAAAGATAATGGATGGATGGATGGAAGTTAGTCTAAACAAAACAAAAACAGACCAAGAACAAGTAGCGAACACGTTTAGTACACACTACATACAATGCTTGTCAATGACACGGCACATCCATTAACATGACTGAAGACACAAAGATGTGAAAATTTCCACAGTCTGAAGTTAAAACAGTTATCAGCTTGACACAACAATGGCACAAATACAATACACCCAGAAGAAAAATACAGGAGGTCCATGTTTTATGTGTGCAGGATAGTTTTTTCACACACCACCACCAAGTACCCTCACCATTTCAAAAACACAACTTTTTTTTTTAGGAAAACAGCTAAATAGTTTAGCTTATTTTTCCATGCCTGATTTGTCCAGTTTAAAGTAATTTTCTGGAGCCAGACCAGCTGTCATCAGCTGAGACTGTTGACAACATGAACCATTCATCAAATCGTCACAAGTACAGAAAAGAAACAACCAGGTAGACGCAACTTAGTCCTGTTGTCAATTAGTCACACATGAACCTAACATGTATGTTCTGAACTGAGTGGGAAAATGGAGAAATCTGAGAAAACGCACACAGAAAAGGGACAACCATGTAAACTCCACTCTGTGAGACGACAGCTTTAATTAAGGCCCTGCATTCTTCATCCTATGCAGCAAAATCAGCTCATTGACGTAGATGTGACAAAAATCATACCATTTTATTCTGAGAGCAGCTTTGCCTGCCCCTACTCGACTCGAGACAAAATCTTTCTCACAGGCATGCACCAAGTATTGTGTGATAGGTCAGAGATTTGTGGGCGTGTTTGTCAATGTGGAGCTGAGCTTGGACATTCAGCTCTATGACTCCTCAAAAACTCACTAAATTAGTTGGGCTGCACGATATTATCGGCATAGTATCGGCTGATATTAGCGTTAAAGTTCAATATAGGACATTTCATCAAAAGAACTCGTCGATATAAAAGACGCTGTTTTTTTTATGACAACCCAGTGACAAGGATGCCTGCAGCGGCAGCACAACGTGATGACGTCACGCGTGCTTACCTGAGCTAACGGTGGAGAGGAAAATTCAAAATGTCGGTGGTGTGGAAGGTTTTTTTTCATTGGTGAGGATGTTGGATTTCAAAGATTTTTGGACTACGTTGAGCCTCGCTACATCGTCCCCAGTCAGAGATCTTTTTTCAATGTAGCCTTACACGAGTTACAAGCTGTCATTTCCGACGTCATTGAAAAGTTAATAGCCGATAGCACTTGGGTGAGTTTTACCACAGACATTTGGACGTCGTGTTAGCCCCGTTAGCATGATTAGTCTTACGGCACAATAGACAAAAACTTTGAACTTAAAAAGTCTGTCCTTCATGCACAGGAGTGCAGAGGATCCCACTCTGCAGCTAGGAACCTGGAACAAGCCTCCACAAGTGAAACAGCATCCCAGGTGACTAATGCTAATAAATAACATTTAACACTTTTCATTTAATATAAGTCAAAGTGCTATGTATATCATATGGCTGTTACTGAATATGTCACCAGCTATTACAGCTGTTACACAATTTTTTGTAGCAAATAAGCCTAAATTAGAGGGCTATGTCCTGACAAAGGAAAGTATATTAAAATATCTTTATCGGTTATTGGCCAAATAAGTTTAAACATATCGGATAATGGCCAAAAATCCAATATCGTGCATCTCAATAAATTAGTCAAATGGCCTAAAATTCCTGGATGGAGACAGTGCAGACATCATGTATGGAGGAGTCTGTCTGCTGAAAAGTGTGGCGCTCTCTGTGATTCGGCAGGTGCAGGAACGGAGTTGGACTCTGGCAGGAAGAAACCTGCGCGGTGATGAATACTGCAGCAGGAGGGGTTTCCCAGGAGCTCTGTGTCTCATGGAATATGAAAGCTGTCGTTGAAAACAAACATCCCACAACCACGTGACCGTGCGTCAACTGTTCGGCTCTGGCTGGACTATGCCAGGCCCTTTAATGACATCACTGTGCTGCCCAGACAAAAATATAAAAACATTTACCTTTTTATACAGTATTCATGTCACCATCTTAAGTAGAAACATGTTTTTACAATCAGCTACATGTTGTATGCCGTCAATCTTTTGAGTGCCATGAGTACGCCCCTCAGCGTAGTGCTGATTTATTCAACACCATTTGACAAATGTGTCTGTAACAGCAGGAGGGCCTCCATAACTTGATCTGCTTCAAACAAACGATGCACTGAGCTCATACTGATGCATGTAGCTACAGTCCGTCAGTCTTTTGAGTCCATTTCCCAAGATGATCATCACCGCTCAGTTAGATCAGTGAAATTATGTGCATTCGTTTTAAAAAATTTGGAAAGAAAACTACGTGCCCTCAGGTCATATGTGAATTTGACTGAATTTCTATTTTGTCTTTACATGGCTCATGTTGCCAGATAAAAATGATCAATAACTGCACACTGCTGACAGAGACAGAGAAAAGTGTAACATGTTACAATATATATTTATCTATATAGGTAGGTAGAGAATCATTGGAGAAAGTGGAAGAGATGTTCTAATATTCAGTGAGGTAGACACAACATGGCTACTTCTTGAATAATAAGTTACCACTCATTCCTAGCAATCAATTACATTAAAAGTAGCTGAAATAAATAACCACTTAATTTCAAGAACTGACAAACAAGGAATGAAATAATTACCTTTTATTGAGACTATTATAACTAAAGGAGAAAACATGTCAAATGTGCAGCAAAGCATGCCAGTTAAAGACATCGCCAAGAGTTATTAAAATAAAATGGACAAAGAATCCACCAGAATTAGCAAGAAAACTGGTTCTATTATTCAAGTCACACCTGCCCTGTGTTGATTTAGATTACAACACAGAAGACCAATTCCTATAAGCTTTTTTACTTGCTGTGTGAGTGGATTGGTTTATAACAGTGTCATAAAATAACAGAAAAACTGACATCTAATATTGTATAACGTAAATAACTTTAATGTCATGATCAGGGCAGAATTAAGAGAACTCACAGAGAACCACCTGAAAACTACAGTAATCTAGAAATCACTTCACGTGACGTGACAGTCAGGGTGGTGTTGTGTTTGCAACCTGAGATTCATCATACCTCTGCAGTTTGAGAGGCTGGTGGGGTCTTCATCCTCTGGTGTGCTATGAAGCGAATGAGGGAATTTGTCTCTGGGGAGCCCCGGGCACCAACGCTGGATCTTCGCCTTGCCTTTATTTGTGCAGCATGGGTCTTATCTAGAAGCAGAGTGACGTATGTACAGTTTGATGAAATACAAACTTCCTTTGGTACTTGCTAGTAATAGTATGCAGCATTGAAACTTTTATTATTCTCAAATAGTTAGAAAAACTACATTTACAGTAGCACAGCACTCATTTATATCCTGTGGACGGAGAGCTTTTTACAGCCAATTTAAGAACGGGCTGTGAGACACCCGAGTCCACCTGTCCTCTGTCTCATATTTCTACAATCAGCTGTAAGCTAAAGTTTACATTTAGTAACCATTAAAGCACATTATTATTATATGAGAGAGCCTTAAGACCCTTCTGTTTACAATAGCACACTAAACAAAGCTCATACCTTTATCTTTTTTATTCAGCTTTAATTTTTTTTACTTATAATTAGTGCATTTGCAGAGTGATCAATGATAGTTGGTTGTGACTGTGGTGGATGAATAACAATCCATCTTTTAAACACAATCTCATTGAGAGTAATGTGTTGAACTGGAGCAGATTATTAAACCTGAGCACCACATGTAGAAAACATGAGCAACCCAACAGCCAGCGGGGGCAGGAAGTCACAAAATGCTTCTGATGGCTCCAAAAATATGGGGCTTTGCTTCAACTGAAGCGTTGTGCACATTTTTAGTTGAGAATTTTTATTTTACAAAGATAATTTATTAAAAAAAAAAAAAAAAAGTCCTTTTGTACATTCCTTCGAGATGACGGAAGACATGTTCTCTCCGTGCATGCGTAGATTTTCACTGGGTACTCCGGTTTCCTCCCTCAGACCAAAACGAGGCTAATTGGTAACTAAATTTTTTCTCTATGTCTGAGTGAAGTGTGAATACTTGTCTTGTTTGTCTTTATGTGGCCCTGTGATGGACTGGAGACCTGTCCAGGGTGTACCCTGCTTCTTCTGTAGGTGACTGTTGGAAACTACTTTCAGTGACCCATAAAGAAAGGAGTAAAGATAATGGATGGATAAAGGTTTGTAAGCTCAATCATTAAGGTAGATCAAAAAAAAAAAAAAAAAGAAGTTAAATCCTGTCATCTGGACAAGTTTTTTTAAAAGGGAGAAACGTTTCATCTTTCATCCAAAAGACATCTTCAGTCTGCGGCCGGCCAACCCAGATCTGTCCCATAAATAGCCCAAATTGTTAGGCTGATGGTCCTTCTTGATCATGTGATCAGCTGGTTTTGGTTGTCAGCAGCAAAACTGGTTGATCCACTCTGAGAAGGTGCTATTTAAGAGACTGAGCTGAATACAGCACCTCAGACTGAAGAAGACTTTCGGATGAAAGACGAAACATTTCTACTTTTTTTTTCTTTGTTTTGTGTTTTGAATGTCCAGAGGACCAGACAACTTTTGTAGCCCACATTGATGTGTTTCAAGCCAAGCTCCTGTTGAATTCCAGAAACATTTGATTGTTATGCATGATGATTGATTATTTTGGACAGAAGGTCCCTGTTTTACACGTTAGAAGCCAGTTTCTGGGAATTCAACAGGTTGACTTAACATCAATGAGGGCTACA